CCCATGTAGCGGCTTCAGGAATTCTTCGTGTTTCTCTTCTTCCTCTTCTTCCTCTTCTTCCTCTTCTTCCTCGACAATTCCTTCTTCAATTTGGTACTCACGAAGTACGGTGTTGCATGTTCTGTCCTTTCCGAGTACCTTCCAGATGGCGTCTATCTCTTCGAAGAAACGGTAGATGAGTCTGGCAAGGTCTCGGTTCTCTCTCTCGTAAATTGCGCAAGGTTTCCGTGAAATCGTTCAGGCATTTCTCATTGGAAGCTTGGTTCATGAGGACATCGGCTTTGAGATTGGTCATCTCTGTCATAAGACTACTTTGGAGAGTCTTAATGGTGTTTGTCAGATGAGCTTTCAATTGGGCAATTTGAATTTGAACTGGGCGCTTGTCTGGCAACCTTGAAAGGACATCTGCTATTGTGTCGGCTTCGGTGCTTGTTCGGACATCGAAAAATGAAGTGGTTTGAGAATGCGGTTTTACTTCAAAAAGCTTGTTATGACAGTTATGTCATACAACAAGTTTAAAATAATATCTTGTTCTTCTTCTGAACGTTTGTTGTCTCTTCCGATAAAAAGTTTCGAACATGAGAACCAAAAAACGTTTTTTGAGGATTGCGGAAGAGTTCAGGCAAACGTTCATATTCTGGATATGTTGGGAGCAGTTCAAAAACATCTGAGCTGACTTTCGGACAAAATTGGGACAATGTCAGAAAATTCATTTTGGTCGGACTGCTTGAAGGTAAGTCCCTTACATGTAAGTAGCTCTGGTAAAGTCTTCTCATCTCTGCTAACTTCTGGAGTATAGCTTCGTATTAAGAGTTTTAATTTTAATTGTCTTATTCCTCTCTTGACATCTAAACGGTAAGTATCCATGAGGTCAAGAGTAACTTTGGTAGCTTTAAGTGGAGCTATCTGTTCCTTGACTCTGCAATTTTGGTTGCAATTGTGGTTTGAGCTCCTTCAAGTTCGCCGTTATATCGTTCTCAACGCCTTCAACTATGGCTTGAAACTCTTCATCGGTCCATTGAGATTGGTGTGGGACGAATTTAACTTGCTTCATTCAAAAAATGAAAAAAAATGTTTTTACTCAAAACGTTAAGGTTGACTGAACTGGTTGGATGTCGCCTTCACAGGTTATGTAGAATGGTTGACCCGAGAAGCGAAGGAGAGACTGAATTGCCAATTTCATATGGGGTAGGGGGTTCTCCTTGTTTGGTATTTTTATCCAAGGACGTTTGTTTAGAACTTAACAAGAGTTTCTCTTTTGGCGTCCTTTATGTCGTCGAAAGAGTGTTTTCTGGTATTTGAATTGGAATTCCAGTCGAAGTCTCGAGATTCAAGGCAGCCCTTCCAGAAATAGCGGTGAACTTGACCTTGGGCTTCATTACCCTGCGCAAGTACTGCTTAACAACTTCATTTATCTCTATAAGGTAAATTGCCTCGTCAAATCCTTTCTGGTATTCGAGTCCTTCCATCCGACAGGAAAATATTTTCCCGACAACTGGAAAAAATTTTCCGGACAAAGGGAAAAAATTTTCCCGACGACAGGAAGAACTCTTCCAGTTGTCCGTCCGTAAACCATTCAAATTTTCGAAAATTGAGAACTTTTTGGTCGAACTTCAGAAAAAGTTTTCCTCCGACAGAAAAAGTTTTTCCTTCCGACAGAAAAAGTTTTTTCTTTCCGACAGAAAAATATTTTCCATCCCACAGGACACAAACGAATGTCGACGACCACCAACCCAGTCCATTCCCAAACCAAAGGAACCTAAAGCACCAGCCCCTGCACCTCAGTTCCAGCAAGTACCTCCGATTTACTACCAATTTCCACCTCAAGGTTACTACCCACCACAAGGCTTCCCGAACTACCCTCCTCAGCCTATGCCTTACTTCCCCAACCCTTGGATGTTCCAGCAGCTCCACCCCAGCAATTCCAATCTCAATCAAGAGAGACCAAGATTCGAGGAAGGTCTGAACCGCTTACGCAAAGAGTATGCTACTACCCCAATGAAGAAGACAGCTCTCACTCTCTTCCTCAAATCGACCGATTCGACTCGTACCACAGATTCGGTTCGTGACCGTGAAGACTACCTCAAGCAGTCTGAGAGACTCTTCATCCTACAACCATTTAACAGTTGGAGCTCTCAAGAACATGCGCAATTACGAAGGTCAGACACCAGCTGGAGACCGCAAAACAGACGTACTCGCAAGAGCCGTCCAGCTCGTCAAAACAAAGACTGAGATAGTCGACTTCATACTTGCAGCTTGCCCTTACAAGTAAAAAAATAAAACAATTACGAATTAAACTTTTTACTCTTTCTTTTCTGAGTTGTTTAGAGCTGGTTTCTTGTAGGAACTTTCGTTACTCTTCCATGGCATGTAATTGCGAATTTTGTACGCAATTCCAGGTTCGTTGTTTTTGCAACCTATGTATGTACGCTTCCATCCTCCTCAGGGAAGTAAGCTGCTAACATCTGACCAAGTTTTCTCGGTGACTCGGAGCTCATAAAAATGTCACTTTTAAACGTTAAGTTTTTAGTCTTATTTTACCCTTTGTTTACCCTTTGTTTGTCAAGGTAGTATTGGAGTGCAATTTCTCCAAATTCTCTGTGTCGGAGTTCTTCAGCATTTCCAAGTGGTACCTGGAGAACTCAAAAAAGTGTCAAGAAGATACTGCATGCGCTCTTTCTGAGTTCGTCGGTATTTTGGAAGTGTTGCACCTTCGAGTCTTCGGACATGAAAAAAATGACACTTTTTCATTATATAACTGTTATTTTTGACGAAGTGAACTTTGACACTTCGTCAAAAAAAATCCCTGAAATCATATCTTTTATACAAAATAGAAAAAATAAAGTTAGTTTTATTTTTATTTATTTTTTTATCCGGAATATAAAGACAGATATGTCAACAACAGAGAACACAACAACTGCTATCGTTCATGAAGCCATAAATGAAGAATATGAGTGGGTTCAGTTTAACAAACAACTCCGTCTCATTCGTTCAGTCAAAGACGATATGTACCAAATGCAAAGTATTTTGACAGCATGTTTTGCTCCAGATACCAAACATACAGACGATTGGTTCAAAAACCAAAGCACACAAGAACTTTTGAGCGAAGCACAGCGAGACGACTTTTTCGGGGTCGCCTAAAACTCATGAAAATCGTAAAAATTTGCCAAATGTTTGAGAGGTTGGTATGTACATAGACTTCTTGTAAATGCTGTTGCAATGTGGGCTTCGCCTCGTTATGGTTGGTATATTACAGACTTCTTGACGAAATTCATAGACAAGAACGTGAAGAGATGGAAAAGAACTTCAAGCAAAAGATGAAGTCATTGAAGCAAAAGACAAAAACATTCAGAAAAGAATACCACGTTCGGTACAAAAGGAAAGGAAAAGAACTAAGTATATGATTATACTGAAGAGATGGAAAATGAAGAAGATAAAGATATGGTTATGTTGCATTTAGTCAGAAGAAACAACAAAAGCTTTTACGACCTTGCTAAGATTTACAAATCTGACAGAAATTGGTTCTATCGCGAAAACTTACCGATTTCAATGACACCGAATGAAGATGTGAAACAAAATAGTTCAAGATACGTTACCTCAAACACACTATGATATGAAAGGTTGTACAATACTTACCCAAAGAAGACTTACCGCTACTGAAAGAAAAAATAACAAAAGTATTTTGACAACTTCAAACAAGCAGAGTAAATGAACTCTTTATTTTCAAGCTTGACTTTTTACCAATTTGAACTTTGTTTCGCGTAGATATGAATTCTGAAAGAAGTATGAGGGTCTTGTATGACTTTGTACTTCTCCCATAGTTCATGTCTGTCAAACTTACCTGCATGGACTCTTTCATAAGTTCCATGAAATCGTCTTCGGACAATCCGGGGAAAAGTATTGTCAGTAAGTATTTTTTAACATCCTTACTTAAACTCTTTGCTGTCTGTACACAAATGACAACTGAGATGTTAAAGTGCCTAAGTTTCTTAAGAATTCGACACATGTCTTGTTCTCTGTTCTTTTAAACAAAGGATGAGAAGCAAAGTCATCTAAGATAAGAAGACATCTATGAGGGTAAGTCTTCCAATCGTAAGATTGCAATTTCTTCGAAATGTATTCTATCTCTTTCTGTTTGTTTCTGAAGTGTTTCTTCTCTAATATTCTCTGCATTTCCTCATTTGGGTCTTTAAACTTCGAAATTTATATACTCATTTTATAGCATTGTACTTCAAAACTCTTTCTTTGGTACTTCTTTATCCAATCTAACAACTCAGTATCCTTTATACATACTAACTTAGACTTCTTTATAATATCTTTGAACGAATTGACGGTTTGGTCAAATTGACCAGAAGTACTACAAATGACAACTAACTCATAGAATGGGTTCTTCTCATCTAGTTCTTGTTGTTGTGCAGCCATTTTAAGATAAGTGAAAGTCTTACCCGACCCAGGTGGTGCAATTAGACCTGTTATACCATTCTGAGCAAATAAGAACTTGTCATGTATAGGCTTTTATCTGAGCATTTTCTAACTTCCTCTTGTTTCTTGTTTAAAACATTCTCAAATTTCTTGTCAATGTCAGCAAACTTTTTTTCTAACATATTTTTAGAAAAATTAAAATTTTTATCTTTTAGAAAATGTCTAGGATTTCGCTATCTATATTCGAGACAAGCTTTTCGACAGCAAAACATCTGTCGACCATAAAATCTTACATAGTGTAAACAAGAAAGGTGAATTTGTTCTAAAGTTTCTGTTTTCTGGGAATATGACAAGAACCATAAAACATTACAGAGCAGTCTTAAAATTTGTCAATGACAGACTTGTTGACAGAGATGACGCCTCTTGGAAAGATGAAGTCCAACAAAGTTCTTAGAATGCAAAGAAGACACATGCGCTGTTCTTGAAGATGAAATAGAAAACAGAATAGATGAGCTATTAAAGGACAAAGAACTTTTACATAAATATGGTTGCGCCAAATTTGACATAACTCCACCAGAAAGAAGAAGAGAGAAAAGAAAGAAAGAAAAGAAAAGAAGAAGAAAGTAGAAGAAGAGAAGAAAGTAGAAGAGAAGAAAGAACCTGAACCAGTTCCAGAGAAAAAGAAATTTGACATGTAAAAATAAAATTTTATTTTTAGAACATTTCTGGGTCAATGTCAATGTTCTCTTCCTCTTTAGGAGCAAACACTGGCTTAGACTCTAAAATCTTTTTACCCAATTTACCTTGAACTTCAACTATCTTAGACTCATAATATTCATAGTCGTCTGCTTTCTTTGGTTCATAAGGTATAACAAGTTTGTATGCTTTGCCTTCTTTAAGGTTTGAGAACCTTCTGTCAAAACTTTCTTTGACTGCTAACAAACCTTCTATGTCTAAGTCTTCAAATTTCGCACCATTTTTAGTCACAATAGCAAACTTAACTGGTTCGATGTTCCAAACTTTGCTGAATGAAGACTTTTCAAAATGGTAGAAGTAAACATTCAAATATGTGAATGGGTCTAGTTCTTCTTTAAGTCCTGACATGTACTTGTTTACTGAGATGAATTTTGTCATCTTTTCTATCGGATAAAAAAATATTTTTTTTAAAATTTACTCATAAAAATTTTCTTTGTATATACACCATTCTGTACGTCTAAAAGACTTTTGACATTTGCCAAGAATGTTCGTTTAGAAGCTGTCATATAACCATATTCTTGACAATATTGTTTATACGAATCGTACAATGACCTTTCATCTAAACACAAAGTCAGTTTCATCTATGAACAGTTCATATACACTCTTGTTTGCTTCTAACAATGTTTGTCTCTCTTCGGTATGTGGAATTTGTCTTGGATTGAACTTAGAAATATCTAATGTCATGAAATATGAGAACAAGTGGTTGTAAAAGTCAGATGTCAAAGTTTCTGCTAAGTCGTCAAAATATTCTGTATCTTGCATATGAGAATCTGACGTTCTGACAACTACATATCTTCTGTCAGAACTTTCTAACTTCATCGGAACAGCATTGTTTGAAACCATAATGAAGTTTGCAACATTTTCACAAACTCTTTGGTCTTTATACTTTCTTTCAACAACTCCAACTTTGTCTGTTATAAGACTCTTCAAAGCATCTGAGTTCAAAACTTTTGTTGTATCTATACTTTGAAGTTCATTGCAAACTATAAGTTTCATATTCTCTATTGAGGAGTTAAATTTACCGCAGATGTTTTCTAAGTTTGTCATATTCGGGTTCGAATAGCCCTCTAACAGTTTGCACAAAATATCTGTAAAGAATGTGTTCTTACCAGTTCCTTGTTTTCCAATTATAATGAGAGCAGTTTCATTTTTAGCACTTGGATGTTGTAAGATGTTTGCAAACCAACATAAGATATACTCATACTCTTTCGTTTCCATTGCATATAATTTCTTTGACATGGTCTAACCAAGCTTCTATAATATTTTCTTTCCATTCTACTTGTTCGTATTTATATCCAGTGAAGATAGAATAGAAGTTTGGAGAAGGTGTATAGAACTTTATACCCGAACTGAAAAATCTTCTAACTTTGACAATAAGATATCCCAAGCATCTAACATCTTCATGCCAACTTGTACGACTTTTATTTTCTTAAGTTTCTGTCTACATTCTTGTTCTGAAACTATTGTTGCTTTGGTTTGTTAAAGACAACATCCCATTCTTTCATAACATAACATTCTGGGGCAGAGTCGACATAAATGACTAAACGTTTCAAATTCTCGACTGCTTTGTTATAGTCTCGAAATGGACACATATTTCTGAATGCTTGGAAGTCATAAAAATCTGAAACATCTATTCTGTACATTTTTATAAAAATAAAAAAATATTTTTTTTATTCTTGACTTTGTTGTTGCATTTGTTGCATTGTTTTGTTTCTTGAGCTATTTGTTGTTGAAGTTGTTCTTGTAATACAATACTTTCACCAGTTGCATCTTCCAATTCGAAACTTTCTGCCGTCATTGACAAATACATAGGACATAAAAGTTTTACAGGAACAAAGTTTGCGTCAACTAATGTCAACGTTATACTTGCCAAAGTGTTTGAGTTCACTAAGGTTGAAAATTCTGCATTCGAATGAACAATAGGCAAACCAGCAGAGAAAGTATTGTTTATACGCATAAGTATCTTTTGGTCATAATAGTTTCTGTCGACATTCGAATAACACTTTGAACCTAAGTTTGAAACAATATATAAGATTGGTGTGCTTAATGTCAATGGAATAGACATTCCTTGTATGACACCTTTTCCTGTTATAGGAAACTGTTGGTAGTAAAAACCAGAAATAAGTTTTGTATTATAGCTCATATCGTTTATAGTAAACTCAGTCGGACATCCAAACATAATGAAACCTGCTCTAGTTGCAGCACATGTTACACCCGTACTTAAAGTATTAAATAAGTCAACAAAACCTGTTGGTGGTATATCTGAGTAAGTATCTTCAAAGGAGTATTTTTTACCATTCACAACAATAAAGTCTTCTGGTGTCAAAAGAGCAAAACAGGCTTTAGTCGTCATTGTGTTTAAGTTAGTTTACAATATCGTCCTTGAGGACTTTGTAAGTTTGTTGTTATAGAATTATATGACTCAGGGTTTTTAGTCGTAATAGTATAAACCATTATGTCTTCTGCCATTTATATATATTTAAAAGTTTTTCTGAAAGTGGAGAAGAACTTCATCTAAACTTTCACATGGCGTTTCTTGAAGTTCTCTGTCTAAGAAGTTCAAATATTTTGTAAAGACATAGAACTTTCCTTTGTCTACACGAACAAACAAAACAGGGTCTTTCATATCGTTCAAAAGTGTGTAAAGTCCTTTACATGAAATAAAGTCTATATTATTTTTCTTCAAACATCTTTCAAGAAGTTTTGACATTTTTACTTAGCAAATAAATTTTAATGAAATGTTGTGGTCGTCAAATATTTTTATGACGTCTGGGAAACTATACTTTAAGTTCAACGTTTCACCTCCTTTCATAACGTATATCTTGTCAATGACATTATATGAAACACCACAGCAACTAATGTCGGGTTCTATTTCTTTGATGTTTATATCGTCTGCCTCTGTCAAAAGTTTCAATAGTTCTTTCAAAACTTCATGAGGTGCAATGACATATGAGTTCACTTTTACAGGGTTGTGTTCGACCAAGTTTAACATTATACTTAAAGCTTGACAAATCTTCTCCTGAGTTTGAAGTTTGTCTTTCAGTTGTTGGTAGTCGTTTCGAATATCTGCAACAGAACTTAAGTCTCTGCTAACTTCAGGATATGTTGGTTGTTCTTTTACAGGAACAATTGTTATACCATCTTCGTCTTCGTATGGTTTCCCCACTTCAACATCTCTGTCTTTGACATTGACAACAACACTTTGACTGTTTGTTTGAGTTGGTGAATTTAACTTCACATCTGCCACCGCCATTAAACCTTTTGAAACACTTACGCTTCTATTTTTCGGAAATGACATTTTACTTAGAATAAAAAGATGGACGTATTCGAGTATCTCTTCGAATTGAAGCAGAACAAAGTTTACACACACAAACAATACAAATACATTGACAGAATAGTTCTTTATACAAACAATGGTAAATGTTATAGAATAGCAATATTTGCTGAACCAAAATATTTCATAAAGCAAAGAAAGTTGGTATAACTGAAATGGTGAAAGTTCTTGAAGCAGACAAAAATATAACTTCAAAACTTACAGATATTTCTAAAGGTAAGTTTATCTTACAATATTATGTCAAAACTGGCGTACTGTCAATATTTGACGGAGAGAAGTCAGTTCAAGAACAACTTACTGACCTGCTGCCAAAATCTGCTCGATGGAAGCTGTCGTTATGCCAATCTGAGGAGCCCCAGCAGGTTTCATCGAACGAATCTTCAAAAGAGCATCTTCCGTGAAAAGTGCTATTGGTTTTGTAAACTTCTTTGCTCTCAGTTCATCTGGACCGTCTCTGTCACCAGTATATTGTATTTGTACAGTACCAACAGTTGAAATACCACCCATAAAGTCTTCTGAGTCAGCAAATGGAATGCCAAGCCAAAAGTTTGAACGGTCTCCATTTGTATATTGAGTTTTTTGACCTCCTGTATGAGTCCATACTTTCACATATGGCATAATAGAACTTTGCATTTCAGGGTTAATGGTTGTTGTGAAGTTGTTGTTAAAGTTCATAGCATCTAATGTCAAGTTGTATGACCTCATATCCTCAACTGTAGAATATTCTTCTCTTGGATAATATTTGCCATCTATGTTTATATGATATTTAATACCGGGGTTGTAGAAACAAGAATAGTCATTTATAGTTCGTCTGAACAGTACAAACATAGTATCTGCATGTTTCATTGCAGTTGTTAAAGCAATATCTGTTCTTGCACCTGGGTCAGCACTTTGGTTTCCAACTTCACCTGCAAAGTCTTTGACAGATATTTGGTGTATAGGGAACATAAGTGGAACTGCAATATATTTGGCAGCTAAAGCATTTGAAATATCTGGGTCCAACATATAGACTGCAAGTCTGCTTTCTATTCTCTTGCATTCAAATTTTTCGCATGTGAACTTAACTGGGTCCCAAGCAGTTCCAGCAGCATTGAAATAATAGTTTACTTCATTGTTGAAGTTTGAGAAACCAAAGTCTAAGTCAACTTTGTCTTTGCAAAATTCGGCGAATGACGTTTGATTTGTTCCCTTTACGTCTGTAAGAGTGAATGGGTCTTGTGTTGGTGCAATGACTAAGTTATTTTTGCTTGGAGTAAGTTCGATAGAAATTTTTCCTGCCCAGTTTGGCAAGTATCTTAAAAACCTGAAGATGAGGAAAGATGACAAAGGAACTCTAAGTTTCAGTTTTACTTTGTTACTGCTGCTGCAGTTTGTCCAGAAAGGTCAACATAAACTCCTGGAACGTTAGGGTCAAGTCTTCTTATTTTCTCAATATTTGCATACTGGTCTGTTTGTTCTCTAGCTTGTGGTTGTACTGAGTTTCTCAAAGCGAACCATTCATAGTTTGCCCATGTTACTGTTTGAACTAAGTCAGAGTTAGAATATATCTTATATCCCATGAAAACTTCTGGAGCATATTGGTATCCGACATAGAAAATTCCATTGCAACCTTTCTTGTCAGACAACTTGGCAGAAGGTTTTATTTCAATGTCTTGTTCCACGTATAAGAATGAGTTGTCAATAGAAATAATATGAAACCTGTCGCAAGCAATATCTACTGTTGTTGAAGAACCTTCTCCAAACTCACCTACGTTTCCATAAGAAACAGCAGTTGTATATTCGTAAGTTCCAGGAACTATTTCTGACCTTCTAATGGCATTGTCGCATTCGTTATACCATTCGGAAACATTTCCGTTCATGGCATCCAAAACTGTTGGCGTTATATTCTGAGCGGCGTACATTTCATATGGGTAAAAATATAGAATAGTTGGATTTATATGTCATAATAGAACCCACTCGTACCAAGCTTTACTTTCTTCCTGACTGAGTTTTTAACTCTTCTTTTTCCTTCATTGCCACTACTTTCACTAGATGAAGTTACTTCTTCACTACTTTCACTTTGTTCTACTCTTCTTCTTTGGTGTCGCTTTTGGTAACTTGCCCTCTGCTTCAAGTTGTTGCATCTTTGCCTCATGTTCACCTAGTATGTTGTAAATTTCCCATGTCCTTTTTGCCTTTGGGCTCTGGTCGCCCATCTCAGGTAACCTATATCCTAGAAAGATTTTGTCATAGTTTGTATTTGAGTCTTCGCGTATTGTTTGCATGACTCTTTCCTGAGTTTCCGGTTCAAGCTCTTCAAACAGAGCTTGTCCATATGGAATAAGCTCGTTTCCAAATATATGTTTTTGTAGCCATTCTGGTTTTCTTTCCATGTTACCAATAATATCTTTTGTGAATGGGAAAGCTTTTACCCAATGTTTCAGTCTTGCGTCATTTATTTCTGTAGTTGGTTTTATTTTGTCAAGGAACATGTTTTTCAATACTAACATTTCATTTGGTACTGTCCATTTGAGTTTTCTTAAATATTCATCCCTTCTCGTTCATTGTCTGCAAAGTAAGTTTTTATGACATTTTGCAAACTTTCGTTTGCAAGGTCATGTACAATAGGTTCTCTTCCTTCTCTCTCCCTAACTTTCTTTCTAAACTCTTCACCAAATATACCATCTCTATGGTTCTGTGTAGTTCTTTGAGATAAATGTTCTAGAACGTCAGGTGTTATATTTCCATCAGCCATGTTCATTTCATACTGGTTCAAAATATCTGCATCTTTCATATCTTTCAATGGCATTAAAGCCGCGCTGAAAATACCAGCTATATCTGGTTCACCATTCACTTCCATTGCGTCTACAACTTCTTGGAATTGTGGTTGTAAGTTTATGAACCACCTATCCGGATTAGCTTTATGACCCCATCTCATTGTAGTTCCATAGTCTGCAGAAACAAAAGTAGGTTTGTTTCCATATTGGTTAGGTTCTGAATGAACTTTAAACAATGTTTCATTTCTATATGTTTTGTTGAAATTTAACCTTTTATTTTCACCGAGTTCAGCCAAAGATTGAACGTTATATGGTCGTAAGTAAAAAGGATTGTTGTATTTGCGTACATTTTCTTTCAGTACTTCCATTCTATGCTGAATATTTTCATCTGATGTTGGAGTCTTTTGTATGTCGGCGAACATTTTTCGATATTCTTCTACTATGTCAGCCGAATTTTTCTTAGACTCTTGGAAAGATTCCATATTCTCCGCATACTCTTGTTGAGGGTCAAGATTTTTCGGCTGTTCCAAATCTTCATCTAGTTCTGTGAAGTTAGTTTCCAAAGGAGGGACTTGTTCGTTTCCTTCAGGCTCTTCTAGCTGTTGTTGCTGAACTATTTCTTCCATGTCTGGTTGTATCTGAACTTCTTCCTGTGGAGTTTCTTGTACCTCATCTGCTGGCATTTCATATATTCCGAGACCGTTTTTAACAAGTTCCCTATTTAAGTCATCCGCATTCATAACCCTTTCTTCTTTCGTTCCGTCTCTATTTTTTACGCGTTTCATGAAGATAGTTGAATTATCATTTATCTCTGACACCAAATATCTCGGAGTAAATTCATCATGTCATTTGGATGATATGCTATTAAATCATATCCCTTAGCGAGCTTGTATTTTCCAGGTTTGAAATTATATCCCATTTGGTGCTGAACCATAAAGCTAAATAGGTTCGGGTCAGTATTTCCTTCCTTGAACTTTCTAATAGCTTCTTTATATCTGTCACTAAAGTCAAGAGTATCTGGGTAACCATAATCTTCCTTAAGCATTTTTAAGAATTCTTGGTTTCCTTGTTCTCTACTTCTTTTATGTCCTTGCTCTGTTTGTGGTTGTTGCTGTGCAGTGTTTTGAACTGTTGGTTGTGTGCAGTGTTTTGAACTGTTGGTTGTGTGCAGTGTTTTGAACTGTTGGTTGCTGTGCAGTGTTTTGAACTGTTGGTTGTGGTGCTGTTTTGTGTTGGTTTTGGTGCATGCCTGTGTCTGTGTCCATGTGACGATGTAAATGTTTTAGGTAGTCCTGGTGCAGGTGCTTCTCTTGGAGGGTTTGGTGGTATATAAGTTCCACTAGCTAGTATATAAGTTCCACCAGCTGGTATATAAGTTCCACCAGCTGGCACATATGTTCCATCTGCAGCATAATGTCCTACCTGACTTTTCGTTTTAAGAAAGCATTTACTAGGTCTGTTTTGGTCTGTTGTAACTCTTTTTCTTGACTTTCCACAACAGTTGCTCTAACGGCGTCATAGGCACTTTGAACTGCCTGTCTCGTTGCTGCATCTGTTATTTTCGTCATATTTTGTGCTACTTCTCTTAACTCTTGTCGAAACCTTCAGACTTCAGTTTCTTTCCAGATGAGAAGTCGTTCACTAGTTTCACCTTACTATGAAGAGCTTCGAAGGCGTTCTTAAAGTCAGCATTCATTAAAGCTTCATTTGAACTGTCTTCATCCGCTTGTATTTTTGTCCTTATTGACCCTATAAGTTGGGCTGCTTTAGCGTTGGCTTGGGCATCTAACCAGTCATTATTAGCTTTTATATATTCTGCGCTTTTCATTGCCTTTTGCATGGCTGCGTCGTTATTTTTACTTTCTTGTGCTAAGTTTTCATACTGTACGGTTTGGTTTTGCAACTGTAAAAGTTTTTCTGCCTTTACATTTGCTTCAACTTCTTTTTTATACTCATCGCTATCCATATATGTCTTCAGGGCTTTTTGTTTTATCTCTTCATCTTTCAGTACTTTATATTGAGTAGTATGGTTTTTCAAATTTATAACATCTTGTTCCATTTTTGCTACTTCTGCTGCTTTTTCTGACACTTTTTTCGCATATTCCTCTGTACTTAGTTCTTTCAGTTGTTCTTCTTTCTTCTTTTTCTCTACGTTTAACTCATTGAGTTTCTTTGTGTGTCTGTCATATTCTAGTTTCTTTTCGTTTTCACTTATTTGTTCTGTATGTCTATGTTTGACTTTTTGACATCTGTTATTTGATTTTTGAGTGAACTCAAATTCATTTGACTTTGAGGGTTATAAGCTGTTCCGTCTGCAGCTCCACCATAGCCTGCCATTTTCGCTAAAAGTGCCGCTCTTAAACCTCCACTCTGTGCACCAATAACTCGGTTTAAAAGCATAGGGTTGCTTGACATTTGTTGCAACATAGTGGGGTCATTCATATTTGTTGTTGCAACTGTTGTTGTGGTGTCAGTTTTACTATTGGATGTTTCAATGCTCTCTTCCTCTTACGTATATTCTTACGTAGCTTACGTGGCATTTTAAGTGAAGTAAAAAACGGTTTTTGACAGATGTTTATATGACACTTTTTGTTCAGCACAAAAAACTACTCGGTCAAAGTGTTGTCAGTTTTGTAAAATAACCGTCCTATCTCATTCTATAAGGGGGAAAGGCTTCTCAAAGTATACTTCCTTGGAACGCCTGTAACTTTTCCTGTAGCGACGATAGACCCTTACTTGTCCGGACAAAGTTATACTATTTTGAGTGCTCTACAAAAAAGTCAACGGCGACGACTCTCAAAAACCGTTGTGTAAAAAGTTTTACCGTTGGACAAAAAAGTATATATAGAAAACAAAAAACGTTTATAGTTCATTCAATATTTGAGATGGAACGGTTTTCCAACGGTAACTATTAAATAAAATAAAATTATAGAAGGGGTTACCGTTGACGAAAACGGTTTTTATTCAATATTCATTTTCCACAAACTTCTGGTCAGTTCATTTTTGTCTAATGGAAGACCACAGTAGTAGCATGACTGACAATTCTTTACAAAAGCTCTTTAAAGGTCAAACACTTATATCCTCATACTTTACTAGTATGTCCAAAGAGGTTACACAGGTTTCAGTCCAATCAGACTCCAATCAGACACAAATTGAAGCTCAAATTCAACCAAAAGAAACTGCCGAAGTCGAACAAACTACAGAAGCTCAAGTTGTTTCAGTCCAATCAGACTCCAATCAGACACAAATTGAAGCTCAAATTCAACCAAAAGAAACTGCCGAAGTCGAACAAACTACAGAAGCTCAAGTTGTTTCAGTCCAATCAGACTCCAATCAGACACAAATTGAAGCTCAAATTCAACCAAAAGAAACTGCCGAAGTCGAACAAACTACAGAAGCTCAAGTTGTTTCAGTCCAATCAGACTCCAATCAGACACAAATTGAAGCTCAAATTCAACTAAAAACTTACACTCCTACAGAACCAGAAGGTGTCTTCTCATTCTCAACAACAGAAGCAAGATATAGAAGACTCATTGCAGATTATCCAAACAATTTGTCCTTAACAGACAACAATGACTATGATAGATATTTCAAAAGTATAATAAAACCAGTCGAAACATTAGAAAACAAAGTTCAAAACCCGACAGTAATGGTTGACTTTTTCTTGTCGAATTTGCCTTATGTTTCAACTATGATATCTCTTCAAGCAATTGACGAATTCATTATTTGCTGTGAACCAAACTTAAGAGAACAGTTATATGAAACACTCAAAGACTTTCGTCCTTATCCTTTAACTTACAATTGGAAAGAAGATGAAAACAAACACGGTTCTTTCTCCTGGAATCTTTCCATTGTTGCTCCAGCTGGTGTAGCTGCACATCCATTCGAAATATATCCAAAATTGCATTACGAAAACAATATGCATATTATAACAACAGCCGCTTTAGATATTATTGAACGGATACCAGATGGAGAAGAAGTTTCAATAATATCTGTTCAAGCAAACCGAGTTGCAATGCCACTTACAGTATGCAAATTCACTCACTCAAGCAGACAATTCTATCAAAATCTTGAGTTCGTTTTTACTGGCACAGCCAAAATGCTTCTCAAAAAACCAGAACAAACCAAAATAACCATCTTCTTATCTGGTTATTGTGAAGATGAAGACAATTCGGACGAAGAAGAAGAGGAGGAGGAAACAAGCGAAGACTCAGACGATATCCAGTTCATTTCCATCCATAAAAAACATTAAAGCAAACATTTCAGAATAAAAATTTTAATTTTAATCTAAACAAAAATTTCTTATGGGCTAGAAGGCACGAAGTGCCTGGAAGCCCCACTACCTTTTTTTTTTTTTTTTTTTTTATATTAGAAAATAATATGAGTTTATGTGATATTATTTTTCAGAAGATTTCATTCTATATGCCTATGAAAAGTATTCTCAAAACTAACTTTTTCCTAATTATAATTAAATCTAGAATATTGTATTATGCAAAAAAAAAAAAAAAAAAAAAAAAGGTAGTGGGGCTTCCAGGGCTGCGCCCCTTCTAGCCCCTGAAGATGTTTAGTATAAATGAAGTTTTTATTCGGAAAATTGTTAGTCTTCTCGGTGAATGAGGACTCTTCTTCTTCCTCCTCCTCCTCTTCTTCCTCTTCTTCGTCATCGTCGGCGTAGTGGAAGAGGACGTAGTTCATCCAAATTCTGTATGGACGTCCTGATTTGGATTTAAATGAGATGGACATATTTTGTGTGAGTGTTATTTCAGTTTCGATAAAGAGTTGGTGTGCTGGTTTGAATATATGTTCGACGTAGGAGAATTTGTGCAACTCATCTTCTCCCAATTCTGTATTGATACAGACTTCGATGAAGTCACCACTGAGAATGTCTTCACCTGTGGGCATATCCACAACAATTAAATGAACGACACAATAGTTGTGAAATTCATTAGTAGGAAATACTGTTGCAGGCGTATTATATGAGGGGAAAAATGTTTTTTCTTCCCCAAATTCATCTGCTACTTCATCTTCATCGTATCCGTTGTTAAAAGCTTTAAATTCATGTACAATTTGAGCAAATTGTTGACGGAGATTTGGTGGCATACGTAAGCAAGCTTGTAACAATGTCCTACCTTCCACACACTCAGCAAATATGGGAAGGTAGGAACATTAATGTCCGTCAATTGGTCCTGGTTGGGGACCAATTGACAGAGTTTTGTGTATGCCGTTATTGTTTCTTTAACGGTATTTGTGTAGATACGGTTATATGGAGTATTTCCCTGGTTGTTAAGGGAAAAATACTCATCCGATTGTAATTTCAATCTTGACCTCAACTCTTTGTTCGGTATTCTTTGGTCTATTCTTAGAGCTGTATTTGTTCGTGCGGGCTGTGGTTTTAAAACATTCGAGTCAAGTTTTAATTGCTTCGAATTGGATGTCGATTTGAATTGGGAGTCTTTTGAGTTCTCCTGAGCTTGGTTCTGTATTAAAGACTGAATAGCAGTGTCAGCTTCTTGTTTTTCGAGATAGTATTCTATTGAATTGGGCTTCACTGTTCGAGACGCGTACATTATGAAAAATGAACTGTTTTTTTTCGGACTACTCATAGAAAAGTTTAAAATAAACCGTTTTTCGTCAACGGTAACCCCCTCTATTTTTTTATTTTATTTAATAGTTACCGTTGGAAAACCGTTCCATCTCAAATATTGAATGAACTATAAACGTTTTTTGTTTTCTATATATACTTTTTTGTCCAACGGTAAAACTTTTTACACAACGGTTTTTGAGAGTCGTCGCCGTTGACTTTTTTGTAGAGCACTCAAAATAGTATAACTTTGTCCGGACAAGTAAGGGTCTATCGTCGCTACAGGAAAAGTTACAGGCGTTCCAAGGAAGTATACTTTGAGAAGCCTTTTCCCTTATAGAATGAGATAGGACGGTTATTTTACAAAACTGACAACACTTTGACCGAGTAGTTTTTTGTGCTGAACAAAAAGTGTCATATAAACATCTGTCAAAAACCGCTTTTTAACTTCACTTAAAATGCCACGTAAGCTACGTAAGAATATACGTAAGAGGAAGAGAGCATTGAAACATCCAATAGTAAAACTGACACCACAACAACAGTTGCAACAACAAATGCTGAATGACCCCACTATGTTGCAACAAATGTCAAGCAATCCTATGCTTTTAAACCGAGTTTTGGTGCACAGAGTGGAGGTTTAAGAGCGGCACTTTTAGCGAAAATGGCAGGCTATGGTGGAGCTGCAGACGGAACAGCTATAACCCTCAAAGTCAAATGAATTTGAGTTCACTCAAAAATCAAATAACAGATGTCAAAAAGTCAAACATAGACATACAGAAGCAAATAAGTGAAAACGAAAAGAAACTAGAATATGACAGACACACAAAGAAACTCAATGAGTTAAACGTAGAGAAAAAGAAGAAAGAAGAACAACTGAAAGAACTAAGTACAGAGGAATATGCGAAAAAAGTGTCAGAAAAAGCAGCAGAAGTAGCAAAAATGGAACAAGATGTCATAAATTTGAAAAACCATACTACTCAATATAAAATACTGAAAGATGAAGAGATAAAACAAAAAGCCCTGAAGACATATATGGATAGCGATGAGTATAAAAAAGAAGTTGAAGCAAATGTAAAGGCAGAAAAACTTTTACAGTTGCAAAACCAAACCGTACAGTATGAAAACTTAGCACAAGAAAGTAAAAATAACGACGCGGCTATGCAAAAGGCAATGAAAAGCGCAGAATATATAAAAGCTAACAATGACTGGTTAGATGCCCAAGCCAACGCTAAAGCAGCCCAACTCATAGGGTCAATAAGGACAAAAATACAAGCGGATGAAGACAGTTCAAATGAAGCTTTAACAAATGCTGACTTTAAGAACGCCTTCGAAGCTCTTCATAGTAAGGTGAAACAAGTGAACGACTTCTCATCTGGAAAGAAACTGAAGTCTGAAGGTTTCGACAAAGAGTTAAAAGAAGTAGCACAAAATATGACGAAAATAACAGATGCAGCAACGAGACAGGCAGTTCAAAGTGCCTATGACGCCGTTAGAGCAACTGTTGTGAAAAGTCAAGAAAAAGAGTTACAACAGACCAAAACAGACCTAGTAAATGCTTTCTTAAAAACGAAAAGTCAGGTAGGACATTACGCTGCAGATGGAACATATGTGCCAGCTGGTGGAACTTATATACCACCAAACCCTCCAAGAGAAGCACCTGCACCAGGACTACCTAAACATTTACATCGTCACATGGACACAGACACAGGCATGCACCAAAACCAACACAACAACACAACAACCAGCACAACAACCAACACAACAACCAGCACAGCAACCAACAGTTCAAAACCCTGCACAACAACAACCACAAACAGAGCAAGGACATAAAAGAAGTAGAGAACAAGGAAACCAAGAATTCTTAAAAATGCTTAAAGAAGAGTGTGGTTTCCCAGATACTGTTGACTTTAGTGACAGATATAAAGAAGCTATTGGAAAGTTCAAGGATGGAAATACTGACCCGAACCTATTTAGCTTTATGGCTCAGCACCAAAACGGATATAATCTCAAACCTGGAAAATACAAGCTCGCTAAGGGATATGATTTAATAGCATATCATCCAAATGACATGGATGAATTTACTCCGAGATATTTGATGTCAGAGCTAAATGACAATTCAACTTTCGTCATGAAACGCGTAAAAAATAGAGACGGAACGAAAGAACAAAAGCTTATGAATGCGGATGACGTAGATAGGGAAATTGTTGAAAACGGTCTCGGAATATATGAAATGCCAGCAGATGAGGTACAAGAAACTCCACAGGAAGAAGTTCAGATACAACCAGACATGGAAGAAATAGTTCAGCAACAACAGCTAGAAGAGCCTGAAGGAAACGAACAAGTCCTCCTTTGGAAACTAACTTCACAGAACTAGATGAAGATTTGGAACAGCCGAAAAATCTTGACCCTCAACAAGAGTATGCGGAGAATATGGAATATTTCCAAGAGTCTAAAAAAAATTCGGCTGACATAGTAGAAGAATATCGAAAAATGTTTGCCGACATACAAAAGACTCCAACACCAGATGAAAATATTCAGCATAGAATGGAAGAACTGAAAAAAATGTACACAAATACAACAACCCTTTTTACTTACGAGCATTTAACGTTCAATCTTCGGATGAACTCGGTGAAAATAAAAGGTTAAATTTCAAGAAAACATATAGAAATGAAACATTGTTTAAAGTTCATTCAGAACCTAACCAAGATGGAAACAAACCTACTTTTGTTTCTGCAGACGATGGAACTACAATGAGATGGGGTCATAAAGCTAATCCGGATAGGTGGTTCATAAACTTACAACCACAATTCCAAGAAGTTGTAGACGCAATGGAAGTCAATGGTGAACAGATATAGCTGGTATTTTAAGCGCGGCTTTAATGCCATTGAAAGATATGAAACATGCAGATATTTTGGACCAGTATGAAATGAACATGGCTGATGGAAATATAACACCTGACGTTCTAGAACATTTATCTCAAAGAACTACACAGAACCATAGAGATGGTATATTTGGTGAAGAGTTTAGAAAGAAAGTTAGGGAGGAGAAGGAAGAGAACCTATTGTACATGACCTTGCAAACGAAAGTTTACAAAATGTCATAAAAACTTACTTTGCAGACAATGAACGAGAAGGGATGAATATTTAAGAAAACTCAAATGGACAGTACCAAATGAAATGTTAGTATTGAAAAACATGTTCCTTGACAAAATAAAACCAACTACAGAAATAAACGACGCAAGACTGAAAGATTGGGTAAAAGCTTTCCCATTCACAAAAGATATAGTTGGTAACATGGAAAGAAAACCAGAATGGCTACAAAAACATATATTTGGAAACGAGCTTATTCCATATGGACAGGCACTGTTTGAAGAGCTTGAACCGGAAACTCAGGAAAGAGTCATGCAAACAATACGCGAAGACTCAAATACAGACTATGACAAACTCTTTCTAGGATATAGGTTACCTGAGATGGGCGACCAGAGCCAAAAGGCAAAAAGGACATGGGAAATTTGCAACATACTAGATGAACATAATGCAAAGATGCAACAACTTCAAGCAGAGGGCAATGAAGGAAAAAGAAGAGTTAAAAACTCAGTCAGGAAGAAAGTAAAGCTTGGTCCACGTGGGTTCTATTATGACATATAAATCCAACTATTCTATATTTTTACTCATATGAAATGTACGCCGCTCAGAATATAACGCCAACAGTTTTGGATGCTATGAATGGAAATGTTTCCGAATGGTATAACGAATGCGACAATGCCATTAGAAGGTCAGAAATAGTTCCTGGAACTTACGAATATACAACTGCTGTTTCTTATGGAAACGTAGGTGAGTTTGGAGAAGGTTCTTCAACAACAGTAGATATTGCTTGCGACAGGTTTCATATAATTTCTATTGACAACTCTTTCTTATACGTGGAACAAGACATTGAAATAAAACCTTCTGCCAAGTTGTCTGACAAGAAAGGTTGCAATGGAATTTTCTATGTCGGATACCAATATGCTCCAGAAGTTTTCATGGGATATAAGATATATTCTAACTCTGACTTAGTTCAAACAGTAACATGGGCAAACTATGAATGGTTCGCTTTGAGAAACTCAGTACAACCACAAGCTAGAGAACAAACAGACCAGTATGCAACTATTGAGAAAATAAGAAGACTTGACCCTAACGTTCCAGGAGTTTATGTTAACCTTTCTGGACAAACTGCAGCAGCAGTAACCAAAGTAAAACTGAAACTTAGAGTTCCTTTGTCATCTTTCCTCATCTTCAGGTTTTTAAGATACTTGCCAAACTGGGCAGGAAAAATTTCTATCGAACTTACTCCAAGCAAAAATAACTTAGTCATTGCACCAACACAAGACCCATTCACTCTTACAGAAGTAGTGGGAACAAATAAAATGTCATTCGCCGACTTTTGCAAAACAAAGTTGACTTAGACTTTGGTTTCTCAAACCTCAACACTGAAGTAAACTATTATTTCAATGCTGCTGGAGATGCTTGGGACCCAGTTAAGTTCACATGCGAAAAGTTTGAATGCAAGAGAATAGAAAGCAGACTTGCAGTCTATATGTTGGACCCAGATATTTCAAATGCTTTAGCTGCCAAATATATTGCAGTTCCACTTATGTTCCCTATACACCAAATATCTGTCAAAGACTTTGCAGGTGAAGTTGGAAACCAAAGTGCTGACCCAGGTGCAAGAACAGATATTGCTTTAACAACTGCAATGAAACATGCAGATACTATGTTTGTACTGTTCAGACGAACTATAAATGACTATTCTTGCTTCTACAACCCTGGTATTAAATACCATATAAACATAGATGGCAAATATTATCCAAGAGAAGAATATTCTACAGTTGAGGATATGAGGTCATACAACTTGACATTAGATGCTATGAACTTTAACAACAACTTCACAACAACCATTAACCCTGAAATGCAAAGTTCTATTATGCCATATGTGAAAGTATGGACTCATACAGGAGTCAAAAAACTCAATATACAAATGGAGACCGTTCAAACTTTTGGCTTGGCATTCCATTTGCTGACTCAGAAGACTTTATGGGTGGTATTTCAACTGTTGGTACAGTTCAAATACAATATACTGGTGACAGAGACGGTCCAGATGAATTGAAAGCAAAGAAGTTTACAAAACCAATAGCACTTTTCACGGAAGATGCTCTTTTGAAGATTCGTTCGATGAAACCTGCTGGGGCTCCTCAGATTGGCATAACGACAGCTTCCATCGAGCAGATTTTGGCAGCAGGTCAGTAAGTTGTTCTTGAACTGACTTCTCTCCGTCAAATATTGACAGTACGCCAGTTTTGATATAATATTGTATTAAAACTTACCTTTAGAAATATCGGTCAGTTTTGTTGTTATATTTTTGTCTGCTTCAAGAACTTTCACCATCTCGGTTATACCAACTTTCTTTGCTTTATGAAAATATTTTGGTTCAGCAAAGACTGCTATTCTATAACATTTTCCATTGTTTGTATAAAGAACTATTCTGTCAATGAACTTGTATTGTTTGTGTGTGTAAACTTTGTTTTGCTTCAATTCGAAGAGATACTCAAATACGTCCATCTTTTTATTCTAAGTAAAATGTCATTTCCGAAAAATAGAAGCGTAAGTGTTTCAAAAGGTTTAATGGCGGTGGCAGATGTGAAGTTAAATTCACCAACTCAAACAAACAGTCAAAGTGTTGTTGTCAATGTCAAAGAAAGAGATGTTGAAGTGGGGAAACCATACGAAGACGAAGATGGTATAACAATAGTTCCTGTAAAAGAACAACCAACATATCCTGAAGTTAGCAGAGACTTAAGTTCTGTTGCAGATATTCGAAACGACTACCAACAACTTAAAGACAAACTTAAAACTCAGGAGAAGATTTGTCAAGCTTTGGGTATAATGTTAAACTTGGTCGAACACAACCCTGTAAAAGTGAACTCATATGTCATCGCACCTCATGAAGTTTTGAAAGAACTATTGAAACTTTTGACAGAGGCAGACGATATAAACATCAAAGAAATAGAACCCGACATTGCTTGCTGTGGTGTTTCATATAATGTCATTGACAAGATATACGTTATGAAAGGAGGTGAAACGTTGAACTTAAAATATAGTTTCCCAGACGTCATAAAAATATTTGACGACCACAACATTTCATTAAAATTTACTTGCTAAGTAAATGGCAGAAGACATAGTGGTTTATACTATTACGACTAAAAACCCTGAGTCATATAATTCTATAACAACAAACTTACAAAGTCCTCAAGGACGATATTGTAAACTAACCTTAAACACGATGACGACTAAAGCCTGTTTTGCTCTTTTGACACCAGAAGACTTTGTTGTTGTGAATGGTAAAAAATACTTCTTTGAAGATACTTACTCAGATATACCACCAACAGGTTTTGTTGACTTATTTAATACTTTAAGGACGGATGTAACATGTGCTGCAACTAGAGCAGGTTTCATTATGTTTGGATGTCCGACTGAGTTTACTATAAACGATATGAGCTATAATACAAAACTTATATCTGGTTTTTACTACCAACAGTTTCCTATAACAGGAAAAGGTGTCATACAAGGTTTGTCTGTTCCATTGACTTTAAGTACACCTATTTTATATATTGTTTCAAACTTAGGTTCAAAGTGCTATTCGAATGTCGACAGAAACTACTATGACCAAAAGATACTCATGCGTATAAACAACACTTTCTCTGCTGGTTTGCCTATTGTTCATTCGAATGCAGAGTTTTCAGCTTTAGTAAACTCAAACACTTTAGCAAACATAAACTTAACCTTAGTTGACGCAAACTTTGTTCCTGTAAAACTTTTATGTCCTATGTATTTGTCAATGACGGCAGAAAGTTTCGAATTGGAAGATGCAACTGGTGAAAGTATTGTACTACAAGAACAACTTCAACAACAAATAGCTCAAGAACAACAAATGCAACAAATGCAAGAACAACAAAGTCAAGAATAAAAAAAATATTTTTTTTATTTTTATAAAAATGTACAGAATAGACGTTTCAGATTTTTATGACTTCCAAGCTTCAGAAATATGTGTCCATTTAGAGACTATAACAAAGCAGTCGAGAATTTGAAACGTTTAGTCATTTATGTTGACTCTGCCCCAGAATGTTATGTCATGAAAGAATGGGATGTTGTCTTTAACAAACCAAGAGCAACAATAGTTTCAGAACAAGAATGTAGACAGAAACTTAAGAAAATAAAAGTCGTACAAGTTGGTATGAAGATGTTAGATGCTTGGGATATCTTATTGTCAAAGTTAGAAGATTTTTCAGTTCGTGGTATAAAGTTCTATACACCATCTCCAAACTTCTATTCTATCTTCACTGGATATAAATACGAACAAGTAGAATGGAAAGAAAATGTTATAGAAGCTTGGTTAGACCATGTCAAAGAAATTATATGCAATGGAAACGAAAGAGTCTATGAGTATATCTTATGTTGGTTTGCAAACATCTTACAACATCCAAGTGCTAAAAATGAAACTGCTCTCATTATAATTGGAAAACAAGGAACTGGTAAGAACACTTTCTTTACAGATATTTATGCAAACTGTTAGAGGGCTATTCGAACCCTAATATGACAAACTTAGAAAACATCTGCGGTAAATTTAACTCTTCAATAGAGAATATGAAACTTATAGTATGTAACGAACTTCAAAGTATAGATACAACAAAGGTTTTAAACTCAGATGCTTTGAAGAGTCTTATAACAGACAAAGTTGGAGTTGTTGAAAGAAAATATAAAGACCAAAGAGTTTGTGAAAATGTTGCAAATTTCATCATGGTTTCAAACAATGTTGTTCCGATGAAGTTAGAAAGTTCTGACAGAAGATATGTAGTTGTCAGAACGTCAGATTCTCATATGCAAGATACAGAATATTTTGACGACTTAGCAGAAACTTTGACACCTAACTTTTACAACCACTTGTTCTCATATTTCATGACATTAGATATTTCAAAGTTCAATCCAAGACAAATTCCACATACCGAAGAAAGACAAACATTGTTAGAAGCAAACAAGAGTGTATATGAACTGTTTATAGATGAGACTAACTTTGAGTGTTTAGATGAAAGGTCATTGTACGATTCGTATAAACAATATTGTCAAGAATATGGTTATATGGCAGCTTCTAAACGAACATTCTTGGCAAATGTCAAAAGTCTTTTAGATGTTCAGAACGGCGTATATACAAAGAAAAATTTTTCTGAGTAAATTTTAAAAAAAATATTTTTTTATCCGATAGAAAAGATGACGAAATTCATCTCAGTCAACAAGTACATGTCAGACTTAAAGAAGAACTAGACCCATTCGCTTATTTGAATGTTTACTTCTACCATTTTGAAAAGTCTCATTGCAAAGTTTGGAACATCGAACCAGTTAAGTTTGCTATTGTGACTAAAAATGGTGCGAAATTTGAAGACTTAGACATAGAAGGTTTGTTAGCAGTCAAAGAAAATTTTGACAGAAGGTTTTCAAACCTTAAAGAAGGCAAAGCATACAAACTTGTTATACCTTATGAACCAAAGAAAGCAGACGACTATGAATATTATGAGTCTAAGATAGTTGAAGTTCAAGGTAAATTGGGTAAAAAGATT